GGATACCATTCGGAATTTATTAATTCACAATGATTCTGTTTATGCAACTAACTTGAAACTATACTGATTCTGTGGAAATAAATATGTTTCTGTCGTCAATAATTTGATATGTAAAACGATCATCATACCGAAATGTAAATCGATTTTATATAGCTATAGAGGATACCCAAACGTCTAAACATTGTACTGGCATTCGATTTAGTACGGCCAAATATTTGCTGATGATCAGGAAGGAATAGATGCAAATATTAAAAAAGGCGAAAATTTTATAAAGTATAGATATGAATAAATTTTGTTTAAACAAATATAAAAATAAATATAGTTGTTCAAAATGAATTTTAAAAATCCCATGCATGTTGTTTCGACGTTTTAAGTCATTCTGTTTCGATTAAATCCAATATTGAAAAAATCATATATAAGTAAAATTTGATGTTTTGTCTGTTCTTTATTAAAAACGTCTGCACAGATTTTAAATTTTTTTATGAAAGAACTAGTTTAAAATTAAAAATAAATTAATAGTTTATTTTTTATAGTACGTTTACCTTTTTTATCTAAAACAAAAGGAATCTTGTTTCAACCTCTGAAAACTATTAAATAAACTTTTATCGGATTGCCATAAGTAGCGATTTAAATCGTTGGCGCCAGCATGTTCGCACGATCTCCAGAAAGCAATAATAACGCTATATAAGTTATAAAATCCGATTTTACTACGTCTTATAAAATTCACATCAATGTATAAAGTTATAAAACTAATATTTTATGCACGAAACTATTACATTATTTTAAAAATGCATTTTAATCATGATGTTTTCTTAAAACTGCACTATGAGGCATTTTTAATTTAAATGTTAACAAGTTTCGAAGCTTGGACAAAGTTTTATGAGTTTTTTTTATCAACTAAAGCGTTCGTTAACAACTTCCATAGTTATTTGAATATAAAAAGTGCATGTAAAATGCATGTGCATTATCGTAGGCGGCCGACGAGGAATTTACAGAGGGATTTAAGTTCCAGGATAGAAAAATCATTTATAAGCCGATTCATGTAGTAAGAGATTGTTTTAGTTTGCAAGCTAACTAGAAATAATGAAATTAAAATATGTATTTAATTAGTTCATCAGAAGATTGTCATTAGTTTATCATATATCATTAAATATCAGATATTATTATATTCAAAAGTTGCAAAAACATCCCGGTATAGAGTTGAGAAGTACAAAGGTCCAATTCGACTCTTACAATTGTACTGTGAAATCAAACTTGCTACATCAAAACAAAAATTACATATCAAATAAACAACTATTTCACTATGTTCAGTAAAATTATCAGATATTTCATCATAATGGAACTATGTTTATTGTGTGATTTCAAAAACTTGTCACCTGGGTAAACAGTTCAATTTATTTTTAATTTTTAATTTTAAACAGGTTTCTTCATAAAATTTGTTTGAAATCTGTGCAGACGTTATCGGTAATAAAAAACAGGCAAAAAATCAAATTTTACTTCATATACTTATATGATTTTTTGAATTTTGGTTTTGATCAAAATAGAATGATTTGAAACGTCGAGAAATCATGCTAATCCGGAATTCAAAATACATTTTGAACTATATTTATATTGATTGTTGAAAATCGAAGTTTATTTCAATACAATAATATATTACCTAATAAATTTGAAATAAAAATGTTACTGCAATAAAATCTGCATGCTACGAAATAATAATGTAAATACGACTCTAAAATAAATCTAGATTATAGAACTCGTATGCATTATTTGCAATAGTATTTGTTAATATTATACACAAAGCCTTCGTGTATTTCCTCCATGACAATATGTAATCCAAATAGAGTAACATATGGATAATCCGACTATCCGACAGAATAGGTAACATGTTAATGTGGGCTTCTGAGAAAATTGATAGATGTCATAAAATTTGAACAAAAATGTCACAGAACTACGAACAAATATTAGAATTCTTAGTAACACTTATTTATCTATTGATAGATCTACAAAATCAAGTTTCCGCACATTTTTACATTCTATAATTGAGAACTATTGTTCGATTAATTGGTACAATTGATAAGATATGAGGAACGGGCAATAGACAACCATTGGGTTGCCTTTTAATGACTGCTCATAAAAAACATAAGAACAGTTCTGATCGATATGAAAAAAATTATAATTAAGTATATATCTTCAAATCCGCTTAGAGACTCGAAGAATTCGTGTATATATGTATACGGTTATTTATATTTTTAACGTCGGTATTTTCACATATATGAATAACTGATAGAAAGAAGATTGCTCGACATATAATATTTTATTTATAAGCAGATGTCAGAACTTATGCGGAAGTGTTATTTGATTTGTCAGTTAATATGTATGAAGGCGCTCGGGTCATGCGGAATTCAACATACTAAAGTTATTCCACTATACTTCAAAATTGTTAGCTTCTTTGAAAGATGGAATATATATATATATATATATATATATATATATATATATATATATATATATATATATATAATATATATACATATATATATATAACAAAAAATCATAAGCTCTAGATTTATAAACAACAAGTACGACATTACTTCAAACTTGCTTTGCAATGCTATAAAAATTTAGTTGAAGAATCAATACTGGCAAACAAAACAATGTCACTAGACGTAGATACTACTATATAATCATACTTTTAATCTTAAAGTTTTTAATTTAATTTTAATTATAGTATTAAGGCTAATAATATTACCTAGCTTTAGAATAAATTTTACATTCATAGGAAAGTCATACTTTTCAATAAGACGCAAAATGTTAATACTGATATAAATGAAAATGCAAGATACTCTACATGGGTTTTAGTGTTCATTTCATTCTGACGTGATTGCTAGAAGTTAAAGGTAATACTTGTGAAATAGTACTATGCCATTTTGTCCATTGTATAAGTATGTCACTTTGTTTGATCAAAATTGAACAAAAAAAATTGATTATTCAAAATTCCACTGACCATCTAATTATTGCATTGAAATTGAACGAAATCACTAGTGCTGGAATAAGTGATTTTAATCGAACAAAATTATGAATATCGATAAATAGGTTCCTAAACAGACCTGAGAAAAACACCCTCAAAATAAACTTTTAAAAGCACGAAAAGACTGTGACAGTAACGCTCAATATCTGTCATGATTGTTATTATGGCTTTTTTAAGTTATACAGTCGCGGAATTGTTACTGAAACTAGACCATTTTTAAAAAAGGCCACTGTGACATTTTGTCCATATTTACACCTAATATTAGACTAATGATTTTTTGTGTGTTTTTGCTTTGATTACAGATTTATTTTTATGTTTTATTTTTATCCAGTAGAATTCTGTAACTAACAATAAGTGAAAATAGTAGTACTAGTTATTTATAATTCCAAAAAAACGTGTAACTCGAAAAATTCACTTCTGTATGGAAAATCAGTGCTAAACTAAAATCAATATAAAAAAGCCCTTTTTGGCAGTTTTTATTATGATAAATAACAAAGACATAGAACGAGATATATATATATTGATAAATTTAATATCAAACACATTTAATAAATTATGCATCAATCATAGAATGAAAATTAGCAGCATCTATTATTCTTTCATTATTACGGAGGCGGTTCAGTTGGTTTGCAAAAGATATAATATTTATTTTACTCTCTAGCTTTTCATTTTTATCTTTTGCCTTCGGCGAAATATAAAATTTTATAGATATAATAGATTTTGTAAAAAAAATAATTCTGTTATTTGCTTATCTTGGATAAATTTGGCCTATCAATTACAATGATTGAAAACAAAGTTTAAAAACAGGGATGTCCTTTGTTTAGGTATTTTAAATAAACTAACTCATATCTACATAAAATTCTATTCTGACCATAAAAAGGGCCTTTTCCATCTAATCTACATATTTCCATCATAGACAAACACTACTAGAAATTCATAACTATAACATACATTATACTATAAAAACATTATTGTAGTTATAAGCAAATAATAGTTTAGTATTTAAAATTAAATAAATTGAGTTGAAAAAAAAATTCAACTAGTGGGGTGGGTGGCATCGTGCCTTAAGGCAAATTGCTGGAACTTCCCGTACCGTAACGAAATGTTCGAGGAATACTGAATGTTTTCAAATAGATTATTATAAATATTGTAACATTGTCTAATATTTATAAGAATTATATAAACTGAATTGCAAAGTTGAAATTATTTGTTTCAACAAAAAACTAAAAAAAAAAAAAAAAAAAAATGGAACAAAAATTTTTTTTCCCAAATCAATTATTTTGTTAAGACAAGCAGAAAGTTTTTTGAATCATTCAAATCGGACGCTTAGTTCTCTCAAAAACTGCCATTTTTTACATATTTAGCTCCGTATCTTCGAAATGGCTGGGCCTGCCTTTGCCAAAAACTAATAAACACTTCTCCCAATCATTACTAATTGAATGTTTTTTAGATCATTCAAATCGGATACTCCGTTCTCTCAAAAATTCGATTTCTATTTTCCGCACTCTTTGCTCCGTATCTCCGAAACGGCTGGACCTGCCTTTGCCAAAAACTAATCAGCTCTTTTCCCTATCAATAGGAATCGAATGTTTTTTGAACCATTCAAATCGGTTGATCCGTGCGCCCTAAAACGTGACTGGAAATTTGTATCCACACATACATACACACACACACACATACACACACACACACACACACATCCATTTTTTCTGAGGTATGCCAAAATGTTCAGAAACCTTCAAAACGTCGAGAAATGTAAAAATTTTCAATTCCGATTTTCGGCCCATTACAATAACTTACCCTACGGGAAGTTAAAAACTGTGTAATACCAAAAAAGTGTAGAACGGGGGATAAGTGTATTTAATATAATTCATAACTTCATGGTCCAAAACTTCACCAAACGTTACATTATTATTATTCTCATACAAAAATATATGTGATGATGTAAAATGCACACACATGTAAGATTCTGTTACAGCAGAAATATGTATCGATTATATTTCATATTACTTGCATGTATCCTCCGCAAACAAACCATTCGCACCATACCCTCAAATAATTCATATCAAGATTAGAAATATATTAAAGTTCCTAACACTACTCACCTTTGTATCATTAGTCAGAAGTTCGAGCGAGTAACCAGGTAGGAGTTTCCTCTCGTTGATGTGTCTGACAGCCAACATAGCCGCTGCCAATTCACTGTTGCCTTCTGGCCTTTCTCCATATGCAGTACTCAGTTCAAATAAACCTAACACAGACACTTTACGCACTGTTTCTCTATCAGACCTAGAAATAGGATGCACCAAATTGGATCTGGAATCGGAATTGGAATCAACACTTGATGATTGATCACTGTGGTTGTATAATAATAACTCTGAACTGTCACTGTCTAAATAACGACTAAACCCGGTACTTTGTAAATCCATACTAAAATATTTATCACTAAATTTCGTCCGAGTGTCTAAAGACACGTTGTCACTTTCTAAACTCTCCTCCAACTCATAGTCCAATCCTTCACCAAACGTTGCATTATAATTATTCCCGTACAAAAGTTCTGAATAATTCTTTTTCAAAAGTCCTTTCCTATCATCGTTCCTGTAGCCCCACGTCTTGGGGATCAAAGCGGCGTGAAAGGCGAGTAAAGCGGCCACGTAAATCCATGCTGATTTCAGGGGAAAGAAATATTTTGTTAGACGTCTTTCTTGTGGTTGTGATTTATTTGCTTCGAATAGGTTGTTTGCGTTTTGGCACGCCCCACCGGACTGACGATACATGCCTCAATCAAATTGCCGATGATGGAGTGCAAGACATCGTCTGTGGCTTTGAGAGCTGTGGGAAATGGAAAAAATATTTGTCAATGCTGATAACAGAAGAAATTATAGAGAAAATACAAAGAATATATATATATATATATATATATATATATATATATGTTAAATTTTTTATATAATTTTGATGTTGAATTATGTGAGATTCAGTTTTCAGGGAAATACATCAATTAAAAAATTTGTATGACTTTAAAACATTTTTATTTTTTCCATACGTTTCGACACATTGTTTTGTGTCATCTTCAGTGGACTCTAGTTTGAAAGAACAGATAGAAATTATTAAATAAAACTAATATATAAGAAGTGATATGGTATGAACTTACATGTAATTGAATTAATCCTAATTATTTCATAATTATAATTGTTCACAATGCACCAAAAAACCAATTCTTATCATTTTAAATTGAACAATATATAAATTTTCGAATGAGTTTTTTCGAAAAAACTCATTCATTTGTTCACTAAATTATATCTTAAAACATTTTTAATATTTTTGAAAACTTTTTCATGCTATTTCCATATAAATTGATTGAACTGCGCGCTATCTAAAAGTTGATATTAAGAGCTAAACTTTTCAAAGAATTGGTTTTTATCAATTTCAAACCATTTGAGCCCTCGGGAGCAAGGAAATTCGAAAATGTCTATATTAAGGACCACCCTAATATATATATATATATATATATATATATATATAATTTGTATATTCTATATATTCTATATAAATGTGTTCAAAATGAAAATAACTGAACGATTGCAAATATGATTCATAAGTGAAAAGAGCAGCTAACAAAAAATATATTAATAGTTTACCCACTGCAAAGCACGCCACATATAAATGTTTTTTAGTAGTCTTTGCAAGTGCTCATCTAATCTGAAACTGATTACAAACTCAAAAAATCATAACCAAAATTATGTCAAACAACAGGTCAAATTTATATTAAAAGAAAATTGGTTCCAAAATTAAAAAAAAAAATAGATATGGACAACCCTTTAAAGTAAAAAGATTTCCATGTATTTTTCAATTTGAAATGATAGAAAATTTAATTAAAAAAAATTATTTCAGAATTTGAAATGAAATGTTAGGGGTAGACAACCCTTGATAAAAATATATAATATTTCAAAGTAAAAAGAGTTGTGTGTGTTTTGATAATTCCGCATTGAAAATATTAAAATGAAGTAAGTTGACCTCAAAATTGAAAAAAGTTTTTGGGTTGGACATCCCTTAATAATAATAAATTGTATTTAAATGTAAGACTTAAGCTTTTTCTTCAAAATCGAAAATCTGATATAAAATTATGTCAAAAATATTCAATTACTTAACGCGAGAAAAAAACATTTGTCAAAACAATAGGGGTTGGTGGTAAAAAAAAATAGTAAAACTGGGTTATATGTATTTTTATTGCCACATTATAAAAATATTAAGGGTCAACAACTCTTATCACTAAGGTATGTAAAAATTAGATAGTTACCTATTCTCAGACCAACTGAATACGCATTTAAATTTTGATAAGAATCGGTAAAGCCGTTTCGGAGGAGTACGGAAACGAACTTTGTGGCACGTTATATATATATATATATATATATATATATATGAGGTAATTATTAAAATTTTCAAATAAAGTTTCAAATTTACAAAAATAGCATCAACAAAAGAAATGAGTTCGTCTTTATGCAAAGTGTATCAAGTATCCGTTTAAATATTTTCAAACAATTTTGGAAAATAATGTTTTTTTTTATCTTTCACCCAATGCATCATCTAGCAATTTTAAATTTTAGTTTCTTTGTCGAATTATTATTCAAAAGCTCTATAGCATCACGTGCCCAAACTTTTATAACAAGTTGCCTCAGATGATCTCTCAGTGTAAAATATCATTACAGAGAATTATACGATTTATTTAGTTATTTAGTTACCCTTGATGACAAGTTTAGTACATATATTACTGCGCTATTGTGTTTGTTACAAATGATTGTGCTAATTAGTCCTATTGTTTCTGTTACATATGAAATATTGTGCACTAATTATTATATGATGTTATTATTAAGCTTCTTTTCAATATTATTTATTAGTCCTATAGGACATTTGAATTTTTTAATTAAATTTTTCTCAATATTTTCAGTTCAGTTTTGAAATTTTTATAGCATTATGTGGGATATGATACAATATAATTAATTATGCACATGTTTCTCTGCCCTGTGAGTATTTTACATTTCTAAATGTTTTTAATTTCAGTGAGTGAATATAATTAATAATAATTAGTTTTATATGTAACAAAAAAAATGTTAGCAATTTTTTCCAATATTATATTTGTCAAACCCAAAAATAATTAAATTTGTGTTTATTCTTCTTAATATGTCTTTTACTAGAATTTTGGCTCGTTTTTCCAATATAAGATAAATCACAATCATAGCTATAAACTTGACAAAACAGATTCATGGGCTTAACAGTTAGCATTATTTGTGTAAAATCCTATCTATGTCTTACTATCACATGTTTTACGTTCAAACATTATTGAATATTATCATTGATAATTCAATTTAAAAAAAAAAACTATACTGATAATTCAATTTCCAAAAATAAAAAATCACTATACCTAAGAGTTAATAACTAAACAAAGATCTGTGTCTGTGTCAATCGAAAAATGCTGTGTACACACACACACTCTATATGTTCTGAAATATATATTCTAAAATTGAAAAAAAAATCTATTTCCAAATTGAAACCATCTTCTTGATTTTACGAAGATTATAAACTATACTAGAAAAATGTAAAAAGCAAATGAAAATAAACCCTAATACGCACTAAAAAAAGTTATCATATTAATATAATTATCTATAGAATCAAATAAATATATTAATTAATAAAATGGTTAAAGAGAAATTGCCTACGTACCACACAATTTACTAAGTCAACATTAGCTTCAGATATGGATCTATTAGGAAATCTTCACAACGGAGAAAATCCCTAAATGCGATGATATAGGAAAAACTTATATATTTCATAATTTGATTTTCTGTCTAATTGTTATATCTTAATAAATAATAAAAACACTATAGAAGCACATTTTTTCCATGATTAATTGGTATGTTTGCATAAATTTTAATATTTTTCTTTACTGGTGGGTTTTATTAAATTTTCATTCCATAATCTATTCCTGTCTGGGTGTCATGTTCTGTCGTGCAAGTTGAAATGAAAAAGATTTATTGTTTTTGTGAATTAATGTCGAGATGCAGCCATGAACATTCTGTTAATCTGTCTATGCTGCGAACTGTCACGAGAACTATGACTGCATACAAATTATTCAACTGTTAGGAGAGATTGTGCCAGAAACTCAAAACATTATGGTACAAGAGGAAACTTCGACAATGATAAAATTATTAAGGGATTAATTGACTTCTGATCATTTGTTTGAGTTGCTTTGATAATATTCTGGAATATGACACTATTTGACAACATAATAAATGAAGATATGTAATACATGCTTGTTAAATTTTATTAGTACCAAGGTATCATTGCAGTATAACTATTCTTGCAGTATAACTATTTACTGACTAAATATAAATGCATTGCATGGCATCTATTTTTTATGGTTGATCAAATAACTTGTATCTAATTCTAATATTCCGTTTTACTAAATATATCATTATTCTTCATCCATCTGATGTTTTAAGATGGTGATAGATATTTGTAACCGCCTACGTATTACTATTACCAAGTGGTCTATTATGGTTTTGCATTAAATAAATATTGAATTGGTTATTTAGTCGTAGTATTGAGATAACAATACCAATGATATGAACGTTACTATAATATTTATATTCAATTACAATCCGCTATAGGCTCTATGACACATCATCAATTTCTAACCTCGGGCTGATTACATTCAGGCCTATATTTGCTCACGCATTTGTGTATTTGATGCATAAGGGATATATGATCTTTAAAATCAACCAAAGTTGGTTTTAAGACTTAAACTGTAATTGATTAATTATTTTTCTACTCCAATTATTTTTGATAATTCTTCCAATTATTTATCGAACAAATTATCACAATTTATAAACGTTTGTAGTTGAAAATTCGTTTTAGTTATAGTTCATGACATGTTTGAAATTATTATTTGTTGAATGATTTTTTATTCATTAATCAATTTCAAATAAAAGTTAAACATAAAATATACATATTTTATTTATTTTAAACGCACCAAAATCTATCAAAAATTAGAGTTGTCAATGAAACTTGATAGGTCAGATGTAAGCATAACGAAAATAAAATTCATGAAATAAATTTATAACTAATGGTGTATATGGCATTGTGCCTTTGGGCAAATTGCTGGAACTTGCCTACCTTAACGAAATGTTTGAGGAATATTAAATGTTTCTAAAGAGATTATTATAAATACTGTAACATTGTCTAATATTCATAAGAATTATATAAACTGAATTACAAAGCCAGAATAAAATATAAATCAAAATATTTTCGATATGAAAAAATGGAAAAAAGCAATCATTTTGTTAAAATAAGCGGAATGTTTTTTGAATCATTCAAATCGGACGCTTAGTTCTCTCAAAAACTGCCATTATTTGCGCATTTAGCTCTGTATGTTCAAAATGGCTAGACCTCCCTTTTCCACAAACAAATCACCTCTTCTCCCAATCATTAAAAATTGAGTATTTTTTGGATCATTCAAATCGGATGTTCTGGAAATAGCTGGACCTGCCTTTGCCAAAAACAAATTAGCACATCTCCCTATCAAAAAGAATCGAATGTTCTTTAAATCATTCAATCGTTTGAATCGTGCGCCTGAAAACGTGGACAAAAAATTGTGTCCATACATACGTACACAAACACACACATCCGTTTTTTCCAAGGTATGCCAAAACGTTCAGAAACCTTCAAAACGTGAAGAAATGCAAAAATTTTTCATTTCAAGTTTTAGACGATTACATAACTTAATATAAGTTAATAAAACATAAATTATCAAATTCGAATTAAGTGAATGAATT